TAGAGTTAAGGTTAGTGTAGTTTATAAAAAAAAACTTGTCGGTGAAATGAACTTGTCGGTGAATTAATTGTCGGTGAATTAATTGTCGGTGAACTAAGATGTCGGTGAAGTGATTGTCGGTGAAATGATATGTTTCGACCATTACACTGACTAATTTGCCACCTCTTTTGTTTAATTTTAGGGGGAGCTAAGGGGATGGAGGGGGGGTAACGTTAAACGAAAGTTTAACTTCAAGTGGCCTAATTTCCAGGATTTCTAGGGATCGATCATGCATGTGCAATTAGTGCATATTTATACGCATTATTCCGTTTCTAACGCTCAGGGGCTATATACAATATAAAGAGAGCTAAGAATTAATTTAAGCGATTACGAACAACAATTTTTGCTTTATGAAAAGTTCGGCTTAAATTAATTCTCAGCTCGCTAAATTGTGCATCCCGAAAAACACCCTGAGCGTTATTTCGAGATGATGCGATAAACATCCAAAATCGAATTTACTGTAAATACGTATTGACCAGAGTTATTATGTAGACAATATATTGAAAAAATATTATATAGATGCATTCTTTTGTTATTTTAACTGCTTTTTCACCTTCTTTTCATTCGTTTTTTTTTATCATGTGCATTCATGAGCATGAATCAAAAAAAAAAAGAAAATTGCGTAAAATGCGCATTCACGCGCATGATTCTGAAAAATGCGCATTTTTATCCCATTTCTAAAGCGGCAATGATCACACAAAATAATAGCTACTAACATCACAAACAAAGCGTACAAAGCGTATATAAACTTGGTGTGAGTAATTATGGCTACATTACGTCACGAGTTCTACGATATATAGTCACAGATTTATATCATTAAGCGGAGTTATTAGACTGAGTATGAATAACAAAATTATTCAAAATAGAAATCATCATTTGGTATAATTACTAAGCGAGAGTTATTAGACCAAAACACTTATCCGTTAGTAGAATTTTTGATTTTGAATTCCAAAGGGTTATTTTTTCCGCTTTATGATGTCGAATACAACAGATTTGGAAATATAGTCGATTTTATGGATTTTATAATCAATACGTATGGATTTTATGGATTTGACAAGACCGACAAAACCTCAAATATTCATAGTTTTGATCTTGCTTATTGTTCATAGAAAATTTGCAAATGCATATTTTTAGCCAAAATCTACTGTGTACTATCATGTTTTTTTGCAGGTCTCTATTTTTAGTAATATCCGAACCACCCAATCGTATAGCTAATGGCATGACAGACGTTGCATAGGCTAATAAAAAAGGAAAAACATATAGTATGAAAGAATTTTTTTATAGTATATATATATATATGTATAAAATAAATTTGAGTTGGTTATACTAGTTTGCATACTATTTTATATAAACATTTGAATTCTTTATCAATCACATGTCCACGTGATATGCAATAATTAATTAATTTAGCTTACGTGTAAAAAAGTGGATATTCGGTAATGATAATTTAAATTACTGTATGACCAATCATATTTGTAATCCCACTATCGTTAATACGTAACGTTAACATTGATTACTATATCGATATCGCTCTATTGCTATACGCTATTACTCTATTACTTTCGCCATCACAATTTTATTTTTTTTAAAATTTCTATTAACATATCGAAAAGCTCCGCAAACTTATTTCAGCAAAAAAAAAATTTACCATTTCAACTTACAGTATGTGAAAGAAAGAAACGGATTTATTATTTGATTTATCATAATAAAAAAAATTTTTTTTAAAAAAAAAAGGCTATTTAATGACCTTATTTAGTAATTTTTTTTGTATATAGTTGACTCTGTATAAAGAACCTCTACAACGGACTCAAAATTTTCAAATTGTATAATAGTTCGGTGTAAAAAGTGTTACGAACTCTTATTAAAGCATAGTAATTTCTGAGGCGAACTTTTTTTTCCAGAATCGACAGTTTTATATTCTTACGGAAATAAAAATAAGTAATGTAAGAATCATTTAAACAATACAGATAAAGAATTTTTAACAGATAAGCTACTGTAGTCTTTCTTGCGAACTTAAAAGATAATCTAAAAGTATTATTAAAGCAATTTTAATTATTATGCTCAAGTTCTTTTAACGAATTGAATTATAATAAATTTGTCAATTAAATTGAAAATTGACCTAAGTTATTCTTCTTCAATCGGTGAAAATAATTAGTATAATTCTTTTTAATTGTACTTTACAATGACCGAAAGCCATATTGATTACATTTGTAAGTAAGTAAAAATATTGTCCAGAATATGATACGCTACAATTGCTAGCAATACTATGTAATCTTACAAGTATTATTGTCATGCGTGATGTTGGCATCTGCCTGAGGTTGGAACTTCAGGTACCTTAAGTTGGCACCTGCCTAAAACCGAGCTAGTGCGTGCAGAATGATCTAATTTTAGGAGCTAATTTTCAGTCAGAGTCAATTTCTGGCACCTGAAGTTTTAACTTTAGTCGGATACCAATTTCAGGCATGACATCATTATCATTATGTACTTTTAAGTATAGCATCTTTATACTCCATACTTATAAGTCTGATAATTAAATATACATATGAGTTTAAGAATATAAAGTTATACTGTGCTAATATACATATTATTCCGTTAGAACGTTAGAGTCGAAGACTATAGAAATAAGTATAAAAAAGTATTACTTGTTATATTTAAATTTTCATTTTCATCGTATTTCTTTTAATTAATACATCAAGGCAAGACAGAACATCATGATGGTTTGGTGGAATTTGACCTTTTTAAATATTCTAAATTTATAAGCATAAGTCTTTATATAATATTTCAATTTATATAAAGAACTCTAAAAATTAGATCTTTCTAGTTAAATTTGGTAATTTAAATAAAGGTCAAATTTCACAAATCAGCCACAATGTTTAAGCAGCAAACCTAGTATCACTCATAAAAAAAAATACTGCTGATGTCTCTTGTAAATATATATAATATTAAATTAGAAGATCATTTAGTTTTTAAACTAATTACTAAGTAATTTATATATTAAGAAACATGTTATATATAAATATTATATATATAAAATGTGATGTTAGCAGTATTTTTTATAAATGATGCTAGAGCTTTAGCTTTAAACACATTTTTTATATTTTTTGTTTATCTTCATTTTGCTACATGTTAGGCTGACCTTATAGAAAGATCTATATTTGATTGTTTGATTCAAATTAATTGCTCAAGTATATACATACATATTTATGTTATATATAGATATGTATTTACCTTAGTTATTTTCTTTAAAAAAAAAATATATATTTATATATCCTCTACTAAAGAGATATTTAGAAATGAGGGTGTGACAACTTAGTAGAGTTGGTAAGTTGTCACACCTCCAAGTGGCAGGACAAGAGTTCAAATCCCACTGGCAATGAAATTTGAATTTTACAGAATATGTTACAGCAGACTGTGTGTAATTTGACAGGTTAGCAGCTGTAATCTTGGTTGTATTAGCTTGTACTGAAAGGATGCAGAACAGTAGTGTAATGCAAAAGTTACACAAAACCCAAATAATGTATCTGGATAAATCTAGAGGATTAGGGTATACAGAAGCCTGCTTGGTAAGCTCTGAATAGAAAGGTAGCACAGATCTTGATAGTATTATGTAAAAGATAATCATTGGCAATCAGACTCAATAGCAAAACTGAATGAGAATCAGGTGTTTAGCAAGGCACCATATCAATCAGGCTATATGTATACAGAAAAAAAATTTATCAGAATACCAGGAGACACAAGTATCTTCTGAACTATCTAGATTGGGTGTTTGAGAATGCTGTTAGTATATCAGGAAAATCAGTAGTAGTCCATAAAGTGGGTGCTAGAATTTGGGTAAACTTTATAAAAGCAAGGAGTTAGTAACTGTAGCAGAGGTAAAATACTGCAAATACTTGGCTACAGCCTAGGCATAAGTTAATAAAAATCTAGATGATACATGTGTAGGACATAGGTCACTCTAGTAGGTTTATCATAAGAATAAAATAGTCCTAAAGGGCCTTAGCAGCAGTTCCTCTTTGAGAAGAATATTTGATAGCACTAAGTTGATCAGAGGGTTTAATTGAGTAAGTTAAATAATAGTGGTTTATAGATATAACATTTAGTGTAAAACCTAGTAATAGGTAGATACTTAATTAGATGCTCAAAAGGTGTAGATATAGTTAGAATATATCCTTATTAATATAACAAAATCAGAGGTAGCTCTGTGGCTGCTCTAACATTCACAACCAAAGTTAATAAATGTGTCAGACCCCAAAGTAGTTATCTTAATATAAAAAAAAGATATATTTAGAAAATAAGCATATTTATAATTGTATATATATTAAAAAAAATTTAAAAAATTTTATGTTAATATATATAATTTTTTTAATTTTTAATATATTCAAAGTTTTGTTTTAATATATGAATAATGTTAAAAAAAGTTTGCTTTTAAGTAATGGATTCAATCTTGAAAAATATATATAAAGTAAAAATTATAAGCATTACTTTTTTTAATTTTTTTAATTGAAAAGCTATAATCTTAAAACTTTTATTATAAATAAATTTTATAGAAAAAATGTATATATTGCACTATGTGATATAATTATATACTGCACTTACAAAGATAACTTTAATATAAGATCAAAAAACAATAAAAATAGTTTATTAAGATTAGAGCAAATTTAGTTTTAGGTTAGAATATGTATAGTTTATATCAAAATTTTGCAAGAATTTTTTTTGTTAAAATATAAAAGCTGTTTTCTATATAAAATTTTAATTTTTTTTTTTTTACCTTCGCAATGTCACGAACAGTGAATTTTTATTAGATATTTAGTAATACATTTAGCTTACCTCTTTTGTACCACCACTACAATTACGCCAGTCCATAACCTCATGCTGCTTTCATTAAAGACCACTCTGATCGATATGTGCTAAACTACTTGCGCTCTAATTCTATAGATAACCTAGTAGAGTTCTTGTATTATCAGGTTGCCCTAGGGAGAGTGTAATATATACCCCCTAATCTTTCTATGTCTTACACATTTTCAAACAAGGCTTTTCGGTAACTTACGCCAAGTTCGAGAATAAGTACTTATGAGCCGAGGCCACTACAGTTACCTACTACTGCCTTTGCAGAGTTCACCCAGACCCTGGTACTTACTTTACAGACTTCTTCCCATACCTCTAGAAATCCAAACTTCCAATTTAATGCCTGGAAGGGCAGAACCCTTCCTCCGGTTGTCTGTTGGCCTGGTTGGTATAGTGCTCTTGCCAAACATCTCAGTCCTGTCTAGTTTTCCGGTATCCAGCTGGTCATCCTACACAAGTAACCGTCAAAGATCTGTGCTACCTCTCCACTTAGGTCTTGCCAAGCGGCTTTCCGTATTCTGTCAATCTGCTAGATTTATTCAATAGCTTTACTTGAGTTTCGTATTACTCATACATTACACTACATATTCTACTACCTCATAGTGCAAGCTGGTGCAACCCCATTACAGGTTCTATAACCCAATAGGATATAGTCTTTCTAAATGCATTTTTCATAAATTTGAATTTTCGTCGCTAGTGGGATTCGAACTCTGGTGCTGCCACTTGGCGGTGCGACAACTTGTCAACTTCACTAAGTCGCCACATTCTAAAATTTCGATTTTTTAAAAATACAGTTTTTTATATTTTTTACATTACACTTGATCTTGAAATTTGATTGGTTAGATAACAAATAAAAGTATCACACTGTATGATATATAGATAACTCCAATTTTATAAATATAAATTAGTAAAATTTTTTAATAATTTTTAATTACCGTAAATTCTCGAAATAGCGGGTAGGGGCACGCTATTTTTACTACGTGCGTGCTATTTTGAGTACGCCCATAGGCGTTATTTTGAATAATTTAGTTAATTTTTTTGAATATAGAGTTTTTCAAAATAACACCTATAAGAAATGTATAATAGAGTGCGCATTATTTCGGGGCGCACATGGGCATTATTTCGAAACCAGATATGAAATTTTTAGAGGCACGATTTTTGAATTAATGCCCATGCCTGCTATTTCGAGAATTTACAGTACTAAAAATTAGATAAAAAATAAAATTTGGTAAAATCTTAGATTTTTATACTAAAATTTATTAAA